TGATGATTTAACTCAGTCCCTGTTAAAACATTTATTAACATTTTGCTTTCAAATTACTTCAAAACATCTTTCAAAATATAACTTTAACCAGTATGGATGCACATTAAAACAATTCTACTTTAATTAAACTTAGGAGATAATATAATCAATTAATCAATACTGTTTTAATAAATATTATATATATATATATATATAATAAAGTAAAAAATGTATTTTTCACTATTCAAGTATTCACGTGACAAGTTCTTATCTTGCACATGAACAGGCTTTGTGGAAAGGGCTTCTCTGTAAATAAGCCAATTGAATTGAAAATTTAAGTGACTCATCATACATTTTTCAACGCACAGTATTTGATTACATAAAATTTTCTGGAGTGTTCTAAATATCAAAATTAATAAGAAATGAGATCAGCACAGCAGGCAGCTTCTGCAAGAAGTGGGAGTCGTTTATTTAGAAGTTCAGTATTTAGAAGAACATTCAGTATGTAGAAGAACAAAAATCTTTAAACTAATCTGAAAATTCAAAGAGAAAAGAAATATTATTGAGGAAGAAATTGATTATATGAACAGAAGAAAAAAAATTTCTTCAAAGGGACATTAAAGATATTAATGAAGAAGTAGATGCTTTAGCAGATGACGCTGAGACCAAGCAGGAACATTGATTTGTTTATCAAAGCAAATGAACTTAGAAGAATAGTTAAAGAAAAGGAAATAGACATAATAAATTAGATGTTAAAATAGCTGAAAAGATTTCAGATTTAAAAAAAGCACAAATGTTTTGTATCTTTTATTGTACAGTTCATTATTCTAGTATCTTTCAAAAACCAAGGAAATAAATTGTATGTTACAATCAGTTATTTTAATCTGCAAAATATTCTTACATTGTGATTATAATAGTAGTTGACTTTGTTTAAATAAATATCAAATAAGTTAAATAATAATCATGTAAATCTCTAAAATAGTGACTGTTATTAGTGTAAAATACTCTTATACATGCTTTTCAAAAAATTATGTTTCTAATTTAAATGTTTATCTACTTCATAACTTGTAGGGAGTTAGTTTAATTTTCAAAATTGTTTTTATGGTAAGTATTAAATTGAATTTAATAATAGTGCATAATACCACACTTCTGTTAGTTTCTTAAAGTGAAACATCAGTTATATCGGTTGTATGGATAATTGCTTTACTTCTATTCATTTTTTTGTTTGCTGATAGGTCCTTAATTTTTTCTTTGGTGGTCCTTAAAAGTCCTTAATTTTCATGTAAGGAAATGTGTACGAACCCTGTAATTGCTCTAAAATCATCTATTTGTGTACAAATTTGTAACAATATAATACATGTTCCAGCCAATATGGGTTTACAATATAGCTCGAGCACCTAAAAGGGATTTGTAGTCCTATAAAGTTTGGGAACTACTGGCTGAGATAAGTTATTTTTTTGTAAACATATGTATAACTTGTATTTAATTGGTAACTAAATAGAATTTTTTTAAAGTAATTACATTTTAATTTACAAATTATTATATTTTATTGTGGCTGTGAAATACAACCTTGCACAAGGGCAATGGGACAGTCCTGTATTTATAGTTGTTTATAATTTATATTTGTTTGGAAATATACTTTATTAAAATTAGCATTAGTATGCTATGTTAAAATTGCTTTTTTTGTATTTAGGATCTAATAAGATATATTATATAAAGATAGAAAATTTATTATGTTTTCAACTACATTTTACATTTGATGTAAAGTAAAGATTTGAATTTCACATTATTCTTCATGTGTTTTATTTTGTAAACAGATTGTAGGAATTTTGAGAAACAGTTTCTGAACATTATATGTTGACTAAAGAATATGTTCTTTCTAGAACAGCAATTTAGAAAAAGAAATTATAATTATGCCAGATAATTTTATGCTTAAAGAAAATCTGCATATCCATGCATAAAAATTATAGCACTTACAGTGTTAAAACTTAGCAAACATCTATGTCAGAAATATACCAGCATAGTTTTTCAAAGCACATTTGTTACTGAGTGAGCAAGATTAGCACATGGTCAGCAGGCTTGTTTAAATGGTTTGTAAGTCAATTTATTTATTGTAAGGGTTTTTATTGCAAAAAATTCCATTTGGATTAGAGATTTTTTGATAATTAACATTGGGTGTAAGAATACACTCACATACACAAAAAAGAAAGAAATCAAATTATTATTATAAATAACTAAAAGGAATTTATGATGTACTAAAATAAAGCTCAAACTCTAATTTGATTTTTTATAAAGGCTTTACAATAGGTTTTCTGAGTGATTTTAGAATTATACAGTCAAAAATCTTTAATCCGGACTCGGTTATCGGTTTTTCCGGATTATAGATCATCAGTTTAAATCTGGTAAGATGGCATGCAGAAATTATAAAATTAAAAATATGAAACCATAATTTATGAAATAAAGAGCAATTATGATCTAAAGGGTATCAAATTTTACAAAAAAAAAAAAAGGCTTAATATTTATATGTTTACTTTATTAAACATTTCTTTCAATGCACGCATGCGTAAAGCATACATTATGCATAGTCGAATTAGAAAATTGCAAACCAAAAAACTATTTGATGTGTATTCGTGATATTTATAATGATGAGGAATTTGATTTAAATCATATCAAAGACGAGTATACATCGAGATGAAATACCACATTTAGTAAGGAATTATAAGCCGAATAAAATAAAAACATCTGCCCTGAAGATAAGGATAGTGCTGACAGATCAACTTCCAGTTCATTGCGCGCCGCAACGTCCCCCCCCCCCCCCCACAGAGCAGCGTGAAATTGATAAACGGATTTCGGAATGGTTAAAGAAACAAAGGATATGCCTTTATCCATTTTTTGCAGCAATTCCACTTTTTGTTTGATGGACATCGAAACATGCTATCGCTTTGTAGATCCTTTGGTTGCTCCATAATCGGAAATTCTTTTTGACATAATCGAAAGTTCAAGCTTACTTTTATAAAATTGCTCTAACAGTCTGCAAAAAATAATAAGCCGGATCCAATTAGAAGATTAAGGAACAATGCAGTCTGCAACATTAACTGAAATAGATAATTAGATAATTCTAGCTTAGCTTATACCATTCATTATACATTAAAAGTGCATGCGTAAACGTATTATGCGCATGCGTAAAGGAATTATGCGTTTACGCATGTGCAGAAAGTTTGTAGCTTTGAGGTCTGGATTATAGATCATTCTGGTTTATGGACGTCCAGATTAAAGACTTTTGACTGTATAGCTATTTTTTTTTCTGTGATAAGTAGAACAGATAGTTATGTATAATACATTTTGTTTTGTAATTTACAGCTGTTTTATATCCAAAATAGGAAATCTGTTTTGTTCATTCTTTTTGTTCTTTTTTTTAACTCCTTCCAGATTTTGTATTAAATCAAGTTGACTACAAAATGATGAAAAAAAATCTTTTATTCTTTCAAGAAAGGAAAGTGAGAGCAATTTTTTTATATGCTGTATATGATGAAGTTCTGAAGAGATATCAAAATTCTGGGAAACCTGTTAGAAAAAATTAATTATGCTTTTATAAAATATGCTTAACATAATGGTTCAAACATACTTTATAAATTGATGAGGCCTGGAATGTCCCATGTGACCAGTAGCTCAGCTATCAGTAAACTCCTAGAATCTAGAGTCCTCTTTATTCTGCTACTGGTGATATGCTATGTTCATTATGAAGTTATTAAACATGCGGTACTGATTTCAACATACAGCAGAATTCCAATAAGCTGCACATCTCAAGACAAAGGGTTAATTAGAGAAAGTTGCAGATTATAGGCCGTCTTTTTGAGTTTTGTTTACATTTTTCCACTTTTAATTTTTACTTTAATCTTTTTACTTCACTCCTAATAATTAAATTGGATTGTTTGCATATACATACCAACCGAAGCAATCCATATCTTAAAAATCACTTAATCTACTTTACTTAATCCACAAAAATATTATTATTTTTAATTACAACTGTATGCAAAGAGAATTACTTTTAAAGTAATGATTACATTGCTAAATGAAAGAATTAAGCAAATAAAGAAATACAACAAAATTTTCTTAGTGAGGTTTTCCTAAATTTTAATCTTTACACTAATTCTGCTGTTATATTCCTTGCATGGACAGCTATATCAATAATGCTATTAGCATTTAACAAAAAGTATTAAAAAATGTTTGCTATTTTTGTGCCAGAAAATTCTTTACAAGTGCTGTTTTTAATTATCTATCTGTATTCGCAGATGATATAAACCAACTTGCTCATTTGTGACAAATATAAATAAATACGCAATGAGGTGTATTTAAGTTGCAACTCAGCATCTGAAAAGTTGTAAACAAACAAATTCTTTACACATACATTTATCTCAAGATTTATAGATTTAATAATAATGCATAAATGGAATAACTTAAAAGCTACCAGGATATATATTCAAAAGAAGTTTATTTAAAATAACAATTTTTAGAGAATTTCAGAATGCATGTTGACTAAATAATATGAGCGCACTGAAGCATACAGAAAATGCTAAATAACTTCATTAATAGCATAAATTTGCTTCTTCAATCAAAATGTGTTATAATGAATTTTTATTTGCATATTATACGTAAGAAAAAATTCGAATTTTCTCAAAAATTAAAAATTCAAATTCTTTCTTTCTTGCTTTTTTTTTTTTTTTTTTTTTTTTTACATATGCAAAAATTGGTTCAGATTACAGGCATTGATACATTAAGCAAATAATCAGAATTGTAGTGTAATTTATTTAATATCTAACTTAGCTGCTTTTAGTGCATTGTTGTATTCAGAATATTGATAGGCAAATTTTAAAAAAATAAAAGTACTTTATGGGCAGTTTTTTAATGATAAGTATTTATGGATTAGGTGAACATTAAATTACAAAGATAATAATATTACAAATCTGTTTTCTTATAAATTAGTGTTATTATAATGATCTTTATTTGCTTTTATTGTACAGCTAATAGGTATCTTTCAAAATACATGCATTGCTTTCCAGAACTCAAAAAATGTGTTATCTGCCAGACATTTTGTGGGTTGGTATAATGGTCATCCAGACCATGTAAATGAGGAAATTAACTTAGATACAGAAGTTGTAACTGTCATTGGACATGGAAATGTAGCTTTGGATGTGGCCCGAATTCTTCTTAGAAATCTGGAAGATCTGAAAGTAAGTTTAGTAATCTTTAGTGCTTTTTTCTAAAATTATATGAAAACCAATCTAACACTCTCAGGGTTTTAGAAGTAATAGTTAATTCATTTAATGAATTCTCAGATGTATTGCAAGTTTAATATTATTTCACATTTTGTTTAGTTGTTTCTAACTTTATTTAAATATTCTGTATTCCCAATAGCCATTTGAATGTTTGAAAATATTTTTAGCTGAACTCATGACTAAAAAAAATTTAATATTTATTTAAAATTAAAAATATGTTTGTATTGACTAAAAGTTTTAAAATTGTGCTGATTACTTAAACAAATTTTAGAATATGATATTTTGAATTTGAAATTTAAACTTTGGCTTTCAAATCTATAATAAAGAGAATAAATTAAAAAATAATTATTTTATCTGTTTAATTGTATTACTTGTTAGAAATTCTCATGAATTGCCTTGTAATTTTTAGGATTTTTATAATATGCATATTTTGTTTTAAACTTTTGTACTTTTCTGCTTTTAGACAACTGATATTACAGATTATGCCTTTGAAGCTTTAAAGAAGAGTCAGGTAAGAAAAGTAATTTTAGCTGGGCGAAGAGGCCCTCTTCAAGTGTCTTTCACAATAAAGGAATTAAGAGAAATGATCAAATTACCAGGATGCAATGTAGTCATGAATCCTTTGGATTTTCGTGGTGTTCCAGAACTTCTTTCATGTAAATTGCTGTCATTTTTATTTTTATAATACTTTTCAGTTATTGTCAAAGATGAGGTTTAAAATAATCCTATCTATTTAATTGCAATTCACAAAAAAATTGTTAAATGTTGTAGACTAAAGCAGATTATTTTTAGTTTGGAACTGCAAATAAAGTCAGATTTAAAGAAATATCCAAAGTTAATTACGCGATATATTTTTTCAATTTACTGTGTGAAAGTTAAACACAATTTGTTTTCGTTCACTTTTAATAAAATGCAAACAGCAATAATTATTTGCACATCTTTCAGAATCTGCTTAACAATATAATAGAATAAATATCTATTGATCATGCCATACAAGTAAAAGTTATACATTACTACCAAAATAATGAAATCATATGCATGGTAATGTGTCTTAATCTTAAAATAAATAAAAAATTTTAAAATTCCAGTTTAAAATTTAAAAAATATTGTCACAAGATTTTCTTTTGTGGGCAGTAAAAATTCAAGATGTATTATGTGTATTTTGGATCAGACTAATTCTCACTTAATGTCATATCTTTACTTTCTTCATTTCTCTGTCATATTTGTACTATTTTTGATGTATAAAAACTGTCATAAAATAATGTAATTTAATGTCAATAATGGATAAGCATGATGTCGCAACATACTTATATGATCTTTGGCTTGGTTTTATATTTCTCAGATTAATTCTCAATAAGTCAGTTTTGTTTTTGTAAAGAAGGATAAGAGTTACCTTTTATGAAACAGAACACTGTGGAGAGGTTTCAGTTACAGGATCCTGGTATTAAAGGAAAAAAAAAATGCATTGATGGGTATGGTGTGGGATTTTATTTGCAAACAGATAAATAACAGTGATGCAATATTAACCGATGGATCATTTATATAGTGATGCAATGTTCAGCGGACCACACAGATAAGAAATTCATATGTGCAGTTCCCCAGAAGTTGCAGTGTTCCTGTGGGATGACTGGCTCTGACACTGCAGAAGCAGTAATTGGTTCAGTTACAATTCCATTTAACATTATAAGAATCATGACTTCACGACCAATGTCAAGGCATTTTAGTGATCTGCACTTTGTCTGTCACTAAAAAGCCTCTCGATGTCAGGGAGGCTAACAGACCAATGATCCTGTTGCTCCTCTGATATCATTTCAGTTACAACAAATCAGATGACATAAAATACAACCGAAAAATTAAGAGGTTGTGACTAATTCAGTCTAAACTGTTTTAGACAAGGTAAGAACTGAGAATGTTCTTAAAAGCTCGTTTAAAGAGATTCTTACTGCTAGCAAGATCCTCACATAATGAGGACAATAACTTGGCAATAATCATTTGTATGCCTTCAGTTTTGTTATGTATTATTAACAGAAATTCTCATAGATGTGTATTAAATGTATTTTAGTTCTATATGCAGTAAGTAATACACAACTTTAACAAGTGCAACCAATACCACTTAACCACATGTAGTCATCAGAGTAGCATATTGCCATCACCCCAAATTGAAACAAGCAAATATGTATTCAGTATATGAGAAATAGTATAACTTCTCTTTTAGTTATCTGTCTAAATAAAGAGTGACCTCTTCATTAAAACTTCTATCGAAAGGATTACCACAAGTTTGGCAGAATATTTGCCAGCTTTCGTAGTCAATGAAAATCTACATAAGTAAATTTTTATTCATATCCAAATTATAATTCTTATAAATACCAAGCTATTATCTTTATAAATATCTTTAAAATTTCATATTGCTTTTAATACTTTTATAATTATATTTAATTGTCAACTTATGTATTAAAACAATTATTAATAAAATTTGTCAATTTGCGATTGCAGCACTTCCTAGACCACGCAAAAGGCTTTTAGAACTTCTCTGTGACACTGCACTTAAAAATGAAAGTCGTAAAGAAGCCAGCAAAACATGGGAACTTAAGTTCTTTAGGCGTCCTAAGGCAATAATTTGTGATGCACATAACAGGGTTGAAAAAATTTTTTTTGGAGTGAATAAAATTAAAGTATGTATTGCAAAAATTCTATTTAAAAATATTCTTTTAGTATTTATCTTTATTACATATTTTCTCATTAATCTTTTTATGAAGGGCAATTTGGAAGATGCACAGATTATTAACACTGACGACGAAGAAGAAGTGGAATGTGGTTTGGTAATACTGTGTCTTATTATAATTTACTTATTCATGTTTTATAGCTTAACCTTATGTAGTTTTTAAAGCAGAAACCTTCTTTTCTTTGATGTATCAAATTAGACTTAATTCTGCAAAACTTCAGATTTAAATTTTTGTTTTTTATCCATGTGCAAACTCATTTATGATAGTTTTAGTAATTGAATTTATTAACCTCCCCTCCCCACATTAACTTTTGAGTAGCAGAGCCATTTAAATCCGCTGACAAATAACTGTATTTAAGCAAAATTTGTTATTAGATTTATGCAAATACTTATTTTACTCTGTTTTCATAATCTTTCATTTCTTAGGATGATATTTAAATGGCTAAAGAATATATGAAGAAATGAAATAATAAATGTTTAATGAAGTGAAAATATATAAATCAAAGAATACATAAATTATATCATTAAGTATGTGGAGCAAAATAGGTGCAACGGTTTATGTACATATTGCAAATATTTTTAAGGCAGTTCTGTGATTTAATAATGGCAAAATGAAGTCTATAAAAGATTGTTAAATTCTTCAGACAGGTTAGTTTGAATAGATTAGGCCAATTATTTTCAATGAAATTTTTTTTAGACATGTCATGTTTCTAACCACATAATGCCATTTCTATTGATTATAAAAATTCCAATTCTTTGACTTTGAATTAACTTTTTATAACAACTGAAAATCGGTTTATTTGTCTCATTAATCATTTTAAATGATGTTTGTATTTGTTGCTATGATATTAAGTCTAAATATCTTATACAATTTTTATGCAATAATCATATTATTTTATTTTTATACTAAAAGTCTTAAACAGTTTCCTTATAATTACTGATGTTTTGAAGAGTTATGATATTTTTTAAAAATTAAGTTTAAGGGGAAATATCAGTATTTTAACTTCCCAGTTATTTTTATTTTAAAATTTTATCATTTTTTAAGGAAGATTGATCTTTAGATTTTGTGATATTACCAAGACCATTCATTCAGTTATATGAATAATGTTTGATCATTTTTTATGAAAGATCACTCTTTAGGTTCTTCGAAGTGTTGGATACCAGAGCATTCCAATTGATGAATATGTACCATTTGATAAAACAAAACATATTATTCCAAATGTAGAAGGAAGAGTTAAAGATAGAGCAGGTAATTATGTCAATCTTTTCCTGGATTCAAAATGCATTTATAATTTACCAAAAAAAGTTGAGCTGTTGTTGATATGACTCTAATCATGCATTCCTAGAAAATTTTGAATTTTCTGCTGCGTATTGTAATATCTAAAGCAGGAATTCTTGAACTATTTTATTTATATCTTTGATCAAAGGAAATATTTCATAGCTATTGTCACTTGAGTACACATGCAATTTGCAAGAATTGCATGTCTACACTACAAAATTCACACACTATAGTTACAGTTTCTTATGCAGATTTAATATATTTGTAATACTTATTAAAAGATTTACTGAAATAATGAAGATAAGAGCTGTAAAACTAAATTATAAATATGTGTTTGAACTAAATGTGCGTAAAAATAATTAATAACATTTTACATTTTACAAATACTATATGGAGTCCTGGATATTATTTATCTAAACTCTGGTTGCCTATTACTTATAAAAATATATAAATTTTCATTAACTCTAATTGAAAAAAGAAAAGAAAGAAAGAAAGAAAATCTGAAAAGATTGAAATCTTAACATTGACCAGAATCGCACCATTTAAATTTCAACTTTTTTTTATAAGCAGGGTTTGTTAAGGTTTTTTGTGCTCCTGCTGAGCTTTTAGTTTACCATTTGGCTCCTGACCTCACTCCTGCTAATACAACTTTTTTTAGTAATTAAACAGCAAAATTTTAAAGCAACATATGTTTAGAAGTACTGATATAGTGTTAAGTGTTGACATACAGTTTTTCTATTGTTTCACTCTTCTCCGAGTTTATCATATCGGTATACAGTTCCTCGATAAGGTGAATTATAAAACTTTTTTCGTCTTTTTATTATTAGCTTTTTATGTTTTTAACTTCATTAAATATAATGTTCTTAGCATATCTTTAGAATTCTTGATAGAGTATTAAATGTTACCATATACTTTTTTATATTTGTTATATTCTTTAAAAAAATAGTTAAGCCTCTAAAATAGTTATAAAAAAGAAAAGTACATAATGATTTGAATAAGTCACCTAGTGTAACTGCATAAAAATATTTAATATTTTTATTTAGGAATCTCATGATTTTAATGCCTTTTTTGCATGTCCAGATCTGTGAGTATTTAAAATTTGATGGCTGTAACAAGGAGGGCAAGGAACATACATACATACTGATTCTTCATTATTTAATTATTTTAAAAATAAAACATGGCGATAGCATTTGGTGGCAACAGTTTGAAAAGTGATACACACAAAAAGTGAAGTTAAGAAATAATAGCACCTAGGTGCTAATAAAATTGGTATAAATATTTACAAAATATTCTATTGAAAATTCCTTCATAATAATGTTTCGTTAGGAAGCTGATCAGTTACCAAATTAATTGGCTGCTATTAAATATCAATCATCAGAGTGTGCTCATAAATAATAATGAATTTGTCAATTACAGTTCAAATATATTCCAAGTTCTTGGCATGCTGTAGCATTGGTAAGTAATAAATAAGCTTCTTATTATCAGTCTGACTGAATTTAAAAAGTTATTCAGTTTTCATATAATTTATGCTAGCAGCAGTCTTTAAGACTGCATTGTGGTAAAGTGCAAAATTAATCTAGTTATGGTGGTTAAATATCTGATCTAACTACACTGATTTCCAAAAATTAAGGATATTATTAGTTAATTATTTTGCTAATGGATCGGAGAGGGCTGACAATTTCTGAAGAACTGAAATTGCTACACGAATTGCCTTCAGATAGTGAATCTGATACAGATCTTGGTACATGTGCAAAACATGCAATGTTGGGTTGTGCTTTTTTAAAAGTGGTGAAACTTCTTCACTTTCTTCAAAAAGTACCATTATGAAAAACAATAGACGAAACTGTAAATATGAAATGTAAATATCATATAGCCAAGTTACTTTGTTTCATTTATATGCATGTAATCACCATATAACCAAGAAGTTCTTTTTTGGGGGGGGGTGTAGAGTAGCAGGCCTCCCCATGGTATACCGTGGGTAATGCTAAATCTGCTATGGTATTCATAATCTAGTATTTTTTCATCATAGGCAAAATCTTTAACTCTATTATGTACTTCTCAGCAATGCTCGCTTCAGCACTCTTTTCGAAGCTCTATTCATTCAGTAAGCCCATACCCACAAAATTAAAATGGTAAGTGCTATCTTTACAAAATTTTACCAGTGTACTCCTTTAGGCCTTATTAAACTGCCTACCTTTCCTCCCTTCAAATTCCAACTTTAAAAGATAGCATGCCAGAATGGGTTAATTTATGATAACCAATTTATTTACAGAACACATCCACCACCATCTATAAATTTTGTTGGTCTTCTCATGACAATACTTATCCTCATTCTCTAGATTAATTCTTCTTCCAGGTGGTGCTGATAAGCTGACCCATTTGAAAATAAGATCAGTGTTTTAGTTTTTATTCATATTTAATAAAATATGATACAGCACTACCTTTTCTCTCGTAGCTTCTTGAGGGCATATAACCATACTTGTAATGACTTTGTGGTATAACTCTTCTTTTATGTTGTGCCAAAATTTTATAGTTTCAGCTCACAGTTCCATCACATTGGCAGGTACAGCTTCTTGAGGGCATATAACCATACTTGTAATGACTTTGTGGTATAACTCTTCTTTTATGTTGTGCCAAAATTTTATAGTTTCAGCTCACAGTTCCATCACATTGGCAGGTTTTGTGCAGAAAATGTTTATCATATGCCATCTCCTTCCAAAGAGCCCTACCTACTACCCTACCAATGGTTGAAAGGTTAAGACCACTGAATACCAACAATTCAGCATAATTTGGGTTTGAGCCCAGCAAATGAGCTTACATGGTTCATTTTTTTTTTTTTTTTTTTTTTTTTTTTTTTATAAATACCTGCCAGTTTCTCTCAGAAAATTCTGCATGAAGGCACCCCTACTTTTAGGTAGATAGCCATAGTTGCTAAGGCTTTATAGTGGACTTATTAAGGGCTAAAACATTCCATAGTTATGGCATTTTGGGTAGTGGTTGCACATCATATCATCAAAAGTGTTTTCTCTATTCTCCATCATAAAGTACAGCATGGTATTAAAAATGGAGCATTGGTCCATCTTGAACAAATAGGTAACCATTGATTGGTTAAACCAGTAACTATTGGATAGGTATCAATCGGGTAGACCAGTATAGGTATAAAATTATTCTGTAATAGGTAAATTCATGGTACTGACAGCTTCAAGGAGAGAAAAAAATGAGCCAGTTAAAGAGTGGTTTGCCAAAGCCAGCCATACAGTTACCCTTTCTTTATAATGAAAGTTTTCTGGTTTTCCTCTCAACCAACAACCCCTCTTTTTTTTTTTAAATAATTTCTAATGAGTTTTTTTCATTCATAATGAGATAAATGTAAGATTCATGAAGGAACGCACATTAGCAGGAGGCTATAGAAGGAATAATACTAACAACCCCCTCTTTTTTTTAAAATAATTTCTAATGAGTTTTTTCATTCCTAATGAGATAAATGTAAGATTCATGAAGGAACAGCACATTAGCAGGAGGCTATAGAAGAAATAATACTGTATATTCCTGGAAAATTTAAAAAGCATGTGGTGATTGATTTTTTTATTAATACTTTTATTGTGTCAGTTTATCATGTGCCATCATATTTATGTGCTATGCATTTATGTGCTTTTCTGTGTACAAATGGAGGGAACACTTTCAATGATTTATTGTACAGAGAGGAGACAGATGTTGAAGGCATATCCTACAGCTTGGAAGAAGGGGGATGTAATTTTTTCTCTTATAATATTGGTGTGAAAGCTACTAGCATATAGATGTGAAAGCAACTAATGGATTCAGTGTGGGAAGTGGTACAAGGGTATTAAAATGGCTTTTAAGATCACCTGTTTCTAATTCATATAAATTTTTCTTATGGGCTATGTTAAGGATTATATTTATGTTTTATCTTTGCTGCATGATGTGTAGGAACTAAAAGATGATGTAAAGTTATTGCCATAAGAATCACAAAAGAACTTTTGGACATTGGATAATCATATGCATTCTTTGAGTCACGTGACTTTCTCATTTAATGTAGGTAAAATGAAGATATGTATTTAAAATATGACCCAGAAGTCAGTCAGTTTTTGGTGACTTGAAGATTCTAAAGTTTGTACATACACATTTATATGTATATATGGCATAAAAGATTATGCTGGTTGCTGGAGATTTTTTCTTTACATTGAAGATGTGCCAGACATTTTAAATGATATTTTAATTGAAGCATAGTTTTCTGTAAAATTAAAAGACTATGTAACTGAACTGGCATAGAATGTCCTAACCTTGAGTATGTATATATTATTAATCAAATGGCAACCTGTTGGTCACTAGATTATCTGGCTGTGTGTTCTCTAGTATTTTTCCACAAGAAGTTAACCTTTTGAAGACGGGAGGGCCATTATAGTGGCCATAGAGTCCTCTCTTTGAAAAGACGGGGTTGTCCACTTTAGTGGCCATGTCTTTTTCCCCCGTTTTCCAGGCTGAAAAGTGGGGTGAAATTTCAAATTTGATGTCCCTGGGGTTTCAACCACTTATCTCTTTCAAAGGTCTTCCTTTTGCGACATAGATGCACCCCTCTGAGAATCCATTAAACTACACACAAGAATCTTTGTTGCACATAGGAGGTGTTTTCTTAAAGGGGGGAAAGCATTCAGTTCAAGATTCCCCGTCCTTTGGTAGCTTTTACTGCTACCAAAGTCCCGGCCTCAAAAGGTTAAAATGAGATAATGCGAAGTGTTCATCAATGTGGACAGCGGTCATATATTATTCAGTTGAACTTAAAATACACACAGAAGTGTTGATAGTATTAAAATAAAATAAAAAAGCATGGTGAAAGTCCTGCCCAGTCAAATTTCTAAAATGGTCACTACAGCTGCACGAAGAGCATCTGGAACAAGATGGGAATAGGTGCTAAGGGCACTCATGGATTTAGTACAAGAAGAGTGAGCAGATAGTATATGAAAAGACCATTTCAAGATCCGTTTAATCTCCAATTTTACAGAATGAAAGGGCAAATTTCTATTTGGTTTCTGAATTAAACTGCAACCTCTTTTTTGCAAAAGGTTCATTTTCTCATTTCTTTCAACATCACAGTGGAAGGATACCCACTGAAAAGACACGCCATGTTGAATTCTCTCAAGTAGGGATCTGCTTTGTTGCATGCTAGAGCTTTTATTCTCCAGATAATAAAGCTTGAAGAGCAGATGTTGAATTAGAGAGGATTACACCTGTCTCAAAGGAATTCTGGTGAATAAGAAAGCTGCTGAGAAGTTACCTAGATTGATTCCAGCTCACCATCAAAATGGGGCATGAAATTTCTAACTGGCAGATAAAAATTTCACAAAACGTACCAGGTTTAGCTCCTTGAGTAAATTCCAGGAGGAAACCATCTGTATAGATGTGAAGCCATTTATATGTAGGATAACGATCATGTTAGTATCCAGAATAATTGCATGGAGTGTTTCAGAACAGCAATCTGACTTTTTTATTTTCTGATTTATGTCCAGTTTTACATCAAGGTCCATAAGGTCAAGGGGTTAATGAGAGAACAGTTCAATAGGTGTATTGTTAATTAAATGGAAACAGTCAATATCATATACACATTCGAGAAAGCCCTTTTGAGGTTTCAGGTTACATTCTTGATTGTGATTGTAGTCTCAACAAAGTGATTTATTAGGGAGCCTAATTAACCTGCTATAAAGAATAGTTGCATCTTTTTTAATCACATTAATAGAAAGTTGGTTTTTTAGTCAGTAGATGCATCACTAACACAAGGTCTCACGTAGAGATCTGCTCTGCTGCACATGAGAGCTTTCATTCTCCTGATCAGATAATAAAGCTTGAAGAGCAGATGTTGAATTAGAGAGAATCACAACCTTCTGAAATTAATCTTCCAGAAATGATTTGTAAAACTCCAGAAATTTGACTTGTCTAGAAATGATTTGTAAAACCTGGTTTTGAAAAGTCTTGAGGCTATTAAACATCTCATCAGAAGCAGAAATAAACTCTTCATTACAACAGTTCAGAACTGGTTGAACATACATTTTATAAGTTGTATTTAAACTTTCTGTGTTACAGCCCCATTTAACTCCGGCTAGTTGTTTAAGAATAGGGAGTCTTTTTTCTTTTCCAATAACTTGCTCAGCATGTCCCCTCCAAGTTAGCATGTTATCAAAAATGCAGCCTAAGTAATTTGAAAAATCATTTACTTGTATATAGCTACACTGAAAAAAAAGTTTGGAAACAAAAGCTTGTTGATTGTGATAAACTGACTGTTACTCAGTACAGGCACATAGCACTGCATTGTTATTCTGCGATGGAGATACTATTGAGTAAATGATTGTACTTTCCTTTTGCCAGTATGTGCATGATTTACATTATATAAGAATCATATGATAACTATTAATTGTGGAATGATGCATTTTAGAGAGATTAATTGTAAAAATTTCTATTTTTAGGACAGGAAGAGAAAATAATCATATTAAAAAAAGTACATTACTGACTATTATTAATTTTTTTTTTTAGACATAAACATGTACAAATGAGAGCCCTCTTTTAGCAATCGCCTCCTTAAGGTCCTACCGTCTGCTTATTCCTGAATCTATAACCTGTATATTTTAGGACATTAACAAATACTTATACTTGATATAATTTATACTATCATCTCCATAGAAGCTCAGATTCATCTGGAAATATGGATAATCATTTATAGAGAGTTCACTGTTACAAAATTTAATCCAAAATTGTGTATTGTATTTTTTCCTGCTTTTCTTTCCTTCTTCCCCCTCTCCTGAGCAGCAAGCAGCGTGTGATAGTCACAGTCTGTGATAAATTGCTGTTTTGAAAGTCAAGTTTCTATGCTCCAAAATTTGAAAAGTATTGCATTAGATATTTTTGCCAGTTATTTAAACCATTTAAGTTTTTAATTCTTTAAATTTGATAATGAAATTGTTTATGCTATAAAAATTTTTCATTGCAAGCATCCTTCTTCCACCATTTAATCGTTAAGTGCATTTTAATTATTACTTTGCTCATTAGTTAAACTTCCATATGCTAGCTGAATTATGACATTCTTCATTATATATCAGTATTTATTTGTTGTATATATATATAGAATGGTTTTTATTTTTATTTTATGAGATGTTTTTAGATGTAATCTGTTTATTTGTTTAGGTTTATACTGTAGTGGATGGGTTAAAACAGGCCCAACAGGTGTCATTTTGTCTACTATGTATGGAAGTTATGAAACAGCAGAGAAATTGCTTGAAGATATTAAAAAAGGAGATGTACCATCTGCAGTTAATGGAACAAAGGACAATGTATTAGAACTTTTAATAACTAGAGGTTTGTACTGAACGTTTGTACATTTTTGTACAAAGATTATCCACATAAAGTTAGTCTTATGGAATATAAAATTTTAAGTATTGCTAATATTAGCTATACTTAAAATTGTGCATTTTTTAAAAAGGAGATGTACCATCTACAGTTAGTGGAACAAAGGAAAATGTGTTAGAACTTTTAAGAACTAGAGGTTTGTACATTTTTGTACAAAGATTATCCACATAAAGTTACTCTTATGGAATATCAAATTTTTAAGTGCTAATATTAGCTAACTAAATTGTGCATTTTTTAAAAAGGAGATGTACATCTACAGTTAGTGGAACAAAGGAAAATGTGTTAGAACTTTTAAGAACTAGAGGTTTGTACATTTTTGTACAAAGATTATCCACATAAAGTTACTCTTATGGAATATCAAATTTTAAGTATTGCTAATATTAACAATAAACAATTACTATCACTAGTGATGCATGAATATATTAGGTTGGCAAGAAAGTAATTTCGTTTTTTTAGTGTGAAATAAAACTCAATTTTTTTTCTATAAAAAAAATGAACTTTAATCAGTCAATTGCCTTCCATTCTTCTCTATTACCTTTTGCCATCTTTCCGGTAACATAAGGATTCCGTGTTCATAGAACTTCTGGTCTTTATCAGAAAAAAACTCAACCAAGTGCAATTTGAGATAATAATTATTACTGAAATTTTTACCATTTAAAAAGTTTCATAAATATAGTTCACTTTATATAATGAAGGAAGTTTAAATTAAACAATAATCTGATGGGTCATGGTTATATGGGGGATGCAACATCACTTCCCAACCAAGCTTCAATAATTTTGTACTTGTTGCTAAAGATGTGCGAGGCCTCGCATAGTGGAACATGATTTATTTGCAGTTTGCCAATTCTGGCCCTTTCTCTTTGATTGCTTCCTCTAATTTCATAAGTTGTTGGCAGTAAACATCTGAGCTCATCATTTGCTTGGAAGCAGCTCAAAATACATGACACCTTTGCAAATCCCATCAAACTGACAGCATGATCTTTTTCTGATGCGATTTAGCTTTCAGTATGATTTGTGTTGATTCATCATTCTTAGACCATCATCATTTTTTATTAATGTTATTGTTGATGATCCATTTTTTATCACCAGTGATAATTCAAAAAAGGGTGGATTGCATTATATTTGAAATGTGTATTGCAAATATTGATTCGATATGTTAAAAGATTTTCTGTCAATTCATGTGAAACCCAAATATCAAAATTCTTAACAAATCCCAGATATCTTATGCGATTTTATGTGTTTTGTGCCTTAAGGAATTTCCCAAATTCCCGATAATCCCATAATGCCTCTGCCTGTAACACATAGAATTTCTTTACTGATTTCTGTAACATGCAGCAAAAGTGAAATAACTTTATTAATAAATTTAATTTGCTTTGTAAATCAAATAATGTTACAATTATATCTCTTTTTTCTTAAATTATTTATGTATACATTAAAAAAATTGCCAACAAATTTGCCATTATATTGAATTTTATGAGTATCAAAGAATTTTTTTTTGTGTGTGTGATTAAAAAAAAGTATGCAGACTTCAGGAATTCTTTTGTATTAAAATGTGTTTTTGATACTGAATTATAGAAAAAGGACACTAGTAAGATTTTGAGAGCAGTATTTTCTCTTTCCTTTATACATAATTGTTTCTCATGATGACAGCAAGATCTAGCAGTTGAAACAGGTCAGTTTGAATATGAAAGACATGAAAGGTCCGTTTGAATCAAACACTAGATTATAATGAGAAAGAAGTAATTTAAAGAAATAGTTTTTAGAGAACATAAGAAATTTCACTAGGAACTACTATTTTTTTTTAAAATTATATTATCTGAATTAAATATCATCATTTAAGCTGTGAAGAACTAAAGGTGTAATTAAGCTTATAAAGAGTACAGCACAAAGTTTGCATACTTTTAAAGCATGACATATGTAAGATATGTCATATTTCAAAGATGTATTATATTTTTCTAAAAAAGCCCATGAAATTCTGGTTAGATGTATCATAAGTCATAAATAAATTTAATAGCTCTGCTTTAAAATTATGAAGAAAAAAAGAAAGGAGAATTCCGGACTGAGAATGCTTTGGTAGTAAAGCTCGTAATTTATCTGCATGGTACAAATGTAGAATTCAAAAATTTCCATAAATTTCCTTTTCAGCAACTTTAAGCATATAACTTGTAATTGTGATTTCCTGTTTGACATGAAGCAACAATGTCCCTTTTACTTTAAGACATCCTTTTAAAGACTTTGTTTTTACCATTTAGGTGTAAAATACACAGCATTCGACAGCTGGTTGAATATTGACAAAGTAGAGCAAGAAAGAGGAAAAGCTAAAGATAAACCCAGAGAAAAGATTTATCATGTCAAAGAAATGCTTCAAGTGGTATGATATATAAATATAAAATAGATTTAATTTTACACTAGTGATATTAATTGATGCAAATTTGTACAAATATAAATAAGTATCAGGAATCCAACCATTATGTGTAAATTTAATACAAACGCATTCTGTGCTGATCAAATCTGTAGAATAACTATTTTTATATGATTAATGATTTTTTAATTTATGCAGTCCTTCCACCATTTTGTTAGAAATAAAACTGATTTATGTATGTTTTATATCATTCTGCTAGTAATTATTTGCTATTTGCATTATTCTTAAAATATTATTTTAATACAGTTACATTACACAATTATCATGCATATCATAATTATTTAAATACTTCATATGATATATGAATAATTCTGGTCAGATAATGCACTGCAATCATGCCTTAAGGGATTCCCAAACTTTTTTGACCACTATCCCCTTTTATGTTACTATTATATACCTGCAAAGAACTCTTTTCTCCCCCAAGAGGCCAATGCAATTTTTAGATTATTTACGTTACACTGTTTATTATTTTTTAGATACTTTAATTATCAAATATATTTATGTGTAATAAAAACATTCGACTTCAGTAATAAATTTAACCAAGTTTATTACATAGAAATAATGAATTAATAAATCATGTATCTGAAAAGTTTAAAAAGAAATAAAAAATTTCAAACACACTCCATGTTAAAATATAAATATGAAAAGTTTCCATTTGATAACACCACTGTGACCTATTTTGTGTTGATTATTTACAGTTGGTTATTACAGATTATCACAGTTAAAGGAAACATGAAATACAATTAATGAGTTTCTTCTTCATTTTTATATAAAATATATGTAATGAAAAAGACGTAGCAATGATGATGGTATAGAATGTAGATTGTGAAATCCATAATGAACAAACTTGGCAGTCAAGGCAATTATGCACTCTGATTGTGCCAATTCAAGAACATTCACATTTTTTATACTGTTGCAATAGGAAGAGAGCAGAGAAGCATCTTAACGATAACAAGCATAAAAGCAAAAGATATGCAGTTATCCAGTATGGAAGCTTACAAAGAGAATTGTTTCATTTTTCCAAATTTTGAGTTAAAGTTCCGAATTAGCTACATTAAAGTTTTGGTTTAGGTTCCTCATTAGTTATGTGATCAGCGTTAAGTCATATGCTTGGAAAGATCTATAAATGATGCAGTGCAGTAAAGGGCATTACTATTTTTAAAACAGAGAGAGGGAATTAAGGGCTTTTGCTAGTTTGTAATTTTGAGATTTTTATATTTTTTATCTTACATACTCCCCCTTCAAAGAGAAAGGCTTGGAAACAAAAAAGTCTAGTTAGCAAAAGCATTAGAGCAGTAGAAAAAAATTTTTATGCAATACATATTGTTGATACAAGAAAGCAAACGAAAGGTTTTAGGAACACAGGCTTGATGTTTCATATAATAAAATGGCATGAAATTAATTTTAAACATAGGAATTTTTAAATATAGCTTTTATTGGAATTACATTGTTGGCCAATAACAACGCACTGTGGTGAAGAGACTTTTTCAAAATTCTCTGGTAAGATTTTTTTTTTATTTGATGTTTAACAATGAACAATCCCATTTGTTTAACAACCTCATGCAATTATTATTTATGATATAAAATTCTGAATGAATTCTGTAAATAGAATTATTTAATCTATTACTCCCAGTAAACTCTATGATAAATTATTTTTCTCCTTTCAGTTCATTAATTATCATATCTATTTTAAATAAAAGCTTACTGTATAAAAACCTTTTTTTTAAATGCATTTTTTTTTACTTTTCTGTTTACCCTCGAGTATAAATTGACTCTTCTTGATGTAATATTGACCTGTAGGGGGATGTATATGAACTGCTTTGGGAAACTTCTGCCATAAGACATAGATTGAAGTATGTCAAATTCTTCAACATAACACATAGTGATAAAAATGAAGCTAAGTGATAGATGTTCATTCTTTTGAGCAAATGCATGATGCAGATTTCATAAACTTAAACACAGTATCTTTTTGATGCAATGAGACTTATGAATTGTTAAATGTTCAGCAGCAGTTGATATTTATCAGTTTTAGTTAAAAGTGGCAAGAAGTTATCATAGATGCATAGTGTCAGATATTAAAATAAGCGTAAAAGGTTTGCACAATCTTTCAACACAAACAAACATTTGTATTAATAACAGTATGATGTAGACCTATGTTTCATATTCAATATTAGCATTAAATATTTTTAATTTTAGAGTAGACATCTTCAGTTGAAATTCTCACATTTAATAATCCTGAATTGTAAATAATGCTGGCTTAATTCTTTTAAATAAAAAGATTCATGATTATCACACTGGATCGGCATGTGAGTTATGTTTACAGTGTGAACAAAATCTGTAGTTTAAAAACATGAAATAAATTAGGATGCTAGATTCCCTGTTAAGAATGCATGTTCAAATATATTTAATAGCAGCCTAAACTACATATTACAATTAAATAATAGTAAATATGAGTTACGAATAGAGATCCTTTGTTCACTTCTCATTAATAACATTGTACACCATTGTAATGTTACCTTTTTTGGGGGAAAGTAGTGTTACTTTAGTAACATTATACCACCTTTGTAATGTTACATTTCTTCACATATTTTACCTCTTAAAGTATTAAATTGTTCTCATTTATTACTGAAAATCCTGCCTTGGCAAAATAAAATTCACAGGCAGAATCATGCCTCAGCATAATATAAATTTATAAAAATTATAAATTATAAATTAAAAAATTAAAAAATTTAAAAAAATTTTTTTTAAATTTTAAGGGGTTTTTTATTAAATTTATTAAAAAAAAAAAAAAAAAAAAAAAAAAAAAAAAAAAAAAAAAAAAAAAAAAAAAAAAAAAAAAAAAAAAAAAAAAAAAAAAAAAAAAAAAAAAACAAAAAAAAAAAAAAAAAAAAAAAAAAAAAAAAAAAAAAAAAAAAAAAAAAACAAAAAAAAAAAAAAAAAAAAAAATTAAAATAACGTCATTTTAAACTTTTTGTGTTTACTTTATTAATAAAATTATATTCTAATTCAAACTATAAAATTAGTTCAACAGCAATATCGCAAATTAATTTTTAAATAAGCATATCTTTAGGCTGATCACAAAGTGATTCATGTCACATGTTTTACAGTTAATAGTGGCAACTATTTATTTACAAGGAATACAAAAGTGATTCATGTCACCATGTTTTACAGTCCTTCAATATAGTCGCCAGCATTGTGTACAACCCGTTTCCAACGATGTGGAAGTCGCAGAATACCTGTAGCAGCGCCTGTTTTGTTGAATAGTTTGAATGGACCGGTTTACTGCCGCAAGAATCTCAGGAACAGTTTGGAAGCAAGTGCCACGAAGTGGTTCCTTCACCTTAGGAATTTAGTCACAAGGGCTTAGATCTGGGGAGTATGGTGGATGGTAAAGCACTTCCCAGCCCCATCGCTTGAACAAATCAGTCACAGCTTGCGCTGCATGCGGCCGAGCATTGTCATGCAAAATGAGAGGAGCGTTCTGCAGAAAGTGTCGCCGTTTTTTTCTCAAAGCTGGTCGGAGATTGTGCTCCAAAAATGAGCAGTAATACTGCGCAGTGACGGTATGCGTTAGGATGACACCATCACAGTCGTACACGAGAATCACCATAACTTTCACATTGCTGGGGTTCTGACGAAATTTCGAATGTCGTGGTGACCTGTGATGACACCATTCGTTTGATTGGCGTTTTCAGTTCTGGCTGGTACGATCGGGCCCAAGTCTCATCCAGCGTAATGATACGGCGTAAAAAAGCATCTCCTTTGCGCTCATAGCGCTCCAGGTGGGTTCGGGCAGCATCGTATCGTAGCCATTTCTGCATTTCCGTCAATTGATGTGGAACCCATCGTGAAGCAATTTTTCTCATGGACAGGCATTCCTTCAGAATGTGCAGCACAGTCGTATGCGCTAATCCTGTTTGTCCGGCCAGCTGACGAATCCGTTTGGCGGCAATCACTGTCCATTAGTGCGTCAACAGCTTGCACGTCTGCATCGCTGACACTCGGACGACCTGGCCGCAGCATGTCTGCCACGTTTTGGCGTCCTTCATTGAATGCTTTCACCCATCTTGCTACGGTTCTGTAAGGCAATGCAGATTCCCCGCAAGCCTCTTGAAGCCCTTGATGACACTGTCGTGCTGTATGACCTCTGGCACATTCAATTTTTATCCAACATCGTTGTTCTTGTTTTGAAAACATCCTGACAACACTTACTTTAGACCGCGGAGACTATGACTTAATTCCTAATACAAGGATCCGTTCTTCACGTCACTCCGCATGCGAGTGACGTAGGCAGGACGAGTCTTTTTGCCGAGAGATAAGGTAGGTATGTAGTTTACGTGTGGTATATGCGATATTCTTTGGTTTTGTTGTGTAGCGTTTTTTCAGCTGTGTTGCCACTATTAAATTTCCAACCCTCGTATATACATTTATGCAGATTCTTCACTATTTCTTTAAATATAAGACACAGCGATAATCTATGGTGGCAACGATTTGAAAAGTGGTACAGCCTTTTAAAGTTTTCTACACAATATGGGGGGGGGGGGGAAATTAATAGTCCTTCAGGGCAAATTGTCCTTTTGGACTAATAAATACAAATATCATAGAAATCATATCTGAGCCTCCTGCTTAAATTATCATTTCTGTTAAAAAATGAGAATTAGCTGAATTTACTCCGAAACTAACAAATAAAATTCAAATAAGCATCATTTATCATCCATACATCTTAGAAAGTTTTGCTCAGCGAAACACAAAAGATCTGCAAACTTTTTTCTCCATCCCCTACCAGTAACTCTATCACACTCTCAAAGTGAACAGCTAAGAAAGTGAAATTTTACTTTAAATCGAAAAAAATTACAAGGCAGGTATCACATTGCGTGCTTGTTTGATGTCTCCTTCCCTTTTGTTTCTTTTGGAAAATACTACATACAATCTCTCTTTCACCTTCTTTACAATATAAAGCTATCTAATTCATCAACTTGCATAAACTCAGAACTATTCATAATGAATTTATTAACAATCATTATTTTGTTTTCAAATAGTCATTACTGTGTTTTTATATCTAATTATATAAAATAAGTTATACAATATTAATACACTCTGATGGTGAATCAATGAACAGCTCTGAGTACACACAACTGTATTATATTTTACATAAATCATGCATAAGTTAAAATAGTTTCTAAAAGAAAGACAAATTTACTTTTGAGTATAATTAAATTTTATTGTTCCCATAGTACATTATACTTTTAACTTTTACTACAGAAAAAACAATAATATACTATACACATATTATCTCTTGATATAAGTGAGTATTTATACTTGAAAAGACTCTCATTATGTTTTGTGAAATGTACCTTCAACCTGAAACCACACCAACATTTTGAATTTTAAATTATTTTTTATGAAAATAGCAATAAATAAAAATTATGTTAGTACACATAATTTAAGTACCTATTTTCATAGCAACTAATGTAGTAGAATATTAGTACAGTTGTGGTATTTCTTGCTTCAGGGATTGTATACAGTCTTAAGTACTGTTGGAAGTTTATTAAATATCATATAGAAGCCAAAAACAACTCCAAGAGCATAAAAAAATTTTTTTAAAGATAAAATTAAACTCCATTATCTTTAAAAAGTAATTTCTTAAAAATTTTTTTAATTTTTTTAAGAGAGGGATTACACCCTTTTTGCTTTTGTATTAAACTTCTATTTTAAGTTTAATGCTTGTCCATTGTAATGACTAGTATTAAGTATATAATGCAATGTAAAAAAATCTTCTTGGAACATTAAACTGCAACAATTTACTCTTGCTTTTATAAAAAAAAAATATTTACATTATATTTAACCATTTCTAATTATGTTTTTGTACTAAGTAAACCACATCTGTGTATGATACCTGATATATTTATTTCTCTCTCTATATATATATGTAACTTAGTTGCATGATAACATAAAAAATGAATAAAATTTGAAGTTGCATATTTCTAGTGACACCTCAGCTTCTATTTTTTTTTTTAAATCTAACAAAACTTTAGGTTATTTTTTTTATAGCTACAATAACATGAAAAGTTTAGTTTGGCACATTCCTTTAGGATAACTACTTACATCATAAAGTATTGTTTCAATCAGCAAAATAAAAGATACAAAACACAGTGAAAGCTTTAAATGCACAGAAGATTGTCAAATTACAGTTGTAATCTTTTTTTGTACAGTATATGCAAAAAGCATGCTAAAAATGTTTTATTAATGTAATCAGAATTGATACAAAATATATAAATCTCATAAATGTTTTTACTAACAGACATAATTATGGACTTGCTGAAAGAATGTATAGGATCCAAAAAAGACAAAGTGGTATAAAAAAACTATATTTCAAAGTGAAAAGTAAAAAACATATATTATACATTTGCAATAAGGCTCCTAAATTAGGTGTAACTGTTAATGACAGTAATATTATGCTAGTAATACCCAGTATTATTTTCAGGAACCATGAAAATAGCCAAATTTGCAGATCTTTCTTTCATTAAATAAATTGCTTTTTGGTCTTCCTCTAAATAGCATGTTATATTTTTAGATTTCATTTTCCCATCTAACAGCCTAAATATCTGATGCAAGGCAAACTCCCAGGTCATTTAGCTACTTCATCACAGAGGATGTGGTCAGGATACAAACCCAGGGGTAACTGCTTTTAGACCATTACAAAAAAGGAATATAAAATTACAAACATCCATATACCTTTAAAGATACAACAGTTTCTTTGTTAATTACAATACTGACCATGGCAACTAACTCTGAGATGAAGACATGATGGGAAAAGTATAGCTATTTTTAATTAATTACATGTCCTAGTGCACTTAATTCGTATTACACATGTCATATCAGCACTTATATATTTTCGAATTTCGTATGCACAATGTTAAAAAGTAAACATACTCAAAACAATAAGCACTTACTTTAATTGCTGCTCTTTTAAACATAAAACTACTTTTCAAGTCATTTGACAAATTAGCAGAGTAAACAAACACACAAACAAAAAATTGCTAAATTATTTTTCTTCCTTTATTGGCTTAATACTTTTTTTACTATAGCCGATGAGTATATTTTTTCCCCCAACATATTTCTTTTAATTTTTACAACTTTTTTAGAATTTACTATGTTGTCATATACATAATTAAAACAGAATGCCTTTCATTTCTTATATTTACCCATAAAAATAATTAAGAAGATAAAAAGAACTGCATATTTTCAGATCAGATAATTCCTGTTCTGGTCTCTAAACAAGGAAACCTGCCAAAGGAATATAACTTGATTTTTCCTTCATTACTGACTGACTTGTTCAAATATTATCATGGTAATGACTCGGAGAACTATTTATGCATAGAGGAATTTTTGGGCTGGAATGGACTTTTTCCTGCTCCCCTTTAATTTTTAGAGAATTTCCTAACTTGTTTCAGCATTTTGTAACAAAGAACACTATATATGCTCTCTATATTTGACTATTTCATGGTTTCAGATTGAAAATTTAAGAAAATATTCAACATGTGCACACATGGGCTGGGTGTAGAGACAGGTAGAATAGAACTACGCATTTTTCTTTCATCTGTTGTGTTCAAGAGTACTTAATTGAAGAGAGTATTCATAAAGAACTGAGGAACTTCAATTTGCTAGACATAACTGGTTGTCTGGACATACTGTACATATATAATGAGATGATTCCACTCTGTAAAGAGTATTTTTCTTTTCTTCTTAGTATAAAAACACTTCCAAGTTCCTGCTTTAAAATGTTTTGTTTTATTTATATTACACACTGTTTTATGACTAAGAGTCAGCTAGTATTTGTTTTCCTTGAATACAAAATATGACTGCATAATAGAAGAGCAATCATATCTTGAAATGTTCATACACTTCTCACACACATGCTGCACCAGGCAGCCATGAAATAAAGTTGTGCAAGATGTCCTTTCATTATATATATGCATGAAATAAATTGTACAATTATTTCTGGACGTGTTCATCATCCAGCATGGCATCTAACTGGTCTGAAAGATTCGCTAACATGTTTTCAATATCATCAATTACATCTCCAGGGGACATTACTTCTGGAGTCCTATAAAAATAAAAATAATTGACTAAGTTATATTACTCAGTATTAACTGAAAAAAATTTAAATAATTAAAGGGAATATCTCAACATAATATTTAACATAATTTTAGTTTTCTACTTACATATTTCTGATAGAAGTACGAGATAAACAATTTGATGGCAATATAAGATATATTCTGTTATTTGCTAATTTTAAATAATTTAATTCTGTTATTTACAAGATTTGTTAGCTATTAACTAGCTAGCTACTGGTCGATAGCTAAAACCAATAAATCCAAGCAAATTTAATTAAAAAGTCAAACTGTTAAATACAAAAATTACTACTAACATAAGTATACTGACTAGTATTATTAAAAATATATAATCTTAAATAATTCATGACATTTTAAAAAATCAAAAAAATCAAAGTTTTTAAGTGCACACTAGCTACTTGCATGGCTAGCTGCATAAAATACTTATTAAAAAAAAGAAAGAAAAAATATACAATGATTTTATTTAGCTTGTGTTTTATTCCTTGGGGCCAACTAGAAATTAATAATGACGGAGTTGAAGAACCGTGTTCACTTAATTTGTTAATCAATTACAGAGAAAGTAAATTTGAAAGAAAAATTAAATATTTTGCACTATGTAGGTGCCTTGGAGATAAAAATATTTTATTTTGTAAGCTGACAACACATTTCTTTCAAATTGCTGAGTTGTTGATTAAATTTGAAACATACCTTATGATCAGTTGAGTGGCAACAAATAGTTTTTAAATCCATGAATTTGTTAATAAAAACTGAATTAATTTCACATGAAATATGAAATAAATAAACATCAAAATCAAACTTAAAATTACGCAAAACGCAAGCTTGTGTCTGGTATAGGCTTTAATTGAAGCTATCAATTTTGAGGGCAAACAGGTCTTTCTTCTTTAGCCCCCCCCCAAAAAAAAAGAGTTCTTGAACAAATTTAAAATTCAGGCTTCACGCTGATGAGTGTTCAAAATCTGGTATATCTACTGCTATTTGTCCACAATGTGAGGTACATTTGGATTCTTAATTATTCAATTACAGAATTTACGCTTGGCTGAAATGGCAACACACTGGGTTCAATCATCAAATATGTTATTCAAAGTTGCATAAATTTCAAATACGATATGACATAAATAAAACAAATTTGAAATTCAAAACGTGGGCTTTGAGGTGCAAATGCTTGGGTGAATGATTACAGTTGTTCAAAATTGGCTGGCTCTATGATTCTCTGTTTTTTTTTACAATATGAGGAATACACACAACAAATTAACCAGTAAAAATACATAGAGGAACATTTTCATAACCTACATTCCAGAATTTTTTTCAAAAAATGCCAACGTCAACTTCTATGATGGCAGTAAGCACCACAGACACATTAAAGATTTAATATTGATTCCTATTCACTTTTATTCCTGCTTGTAAGGGTTACCAGATAATGCAAATGCCTGATATGTATTATAAGGCATGCCTTGTATTGCCAGCATTAATAAATATCTGAAAAATGTAAAGAGTATTTATTGATGTCAAATGAATCAACCTGGGGCATTAATACAAAAGCCTGGCCCACCAGTGGCTGAGTGTTAAAATTCCTGAATACTGATAGCTCAACCTAAGTCCGATTCTACGTGCATGGGCTTGCTATGTAAGTATTCTCATTGATTTCTTCGTATGTAATGTGGTTTTCTTTAGAAAGTCCTCTGTAATGGCATCCCTTCCCTTAGGTGAATAGCCCTTGCATGCTTTGCCATAATCAATTCATAATGATTTATTTCTGTTTTGCATTAAATGTGTAGTGTAGCTGAAATGAGCCACATAGAGTTCGGAAAAGTATAGAATACAAAACACTGGGTTCAAGATTTTTTTTTTTATTTATTATATTTTAATTCAAAGGAAATTAAAAAAGCCATTTCTCAGAATTTTCTGGCTCATAAAGGCACAGGCCTTTTACAGTGCTTGCACCAACAACAAATATGTCTAAGAACAATTCATTATCCCAAGATGTATTAAAAAAAGTAACTAATAGCAATATGCTAAATTTGGAGTTGAACCTCTATTTAAAAGTTTGAAATGGATAATGGATTAGAAAGCAAAGCCTAACCATAAAAATATGCCCTTCTACAAGAGGGCAGGATATGATTCATATTTTCTGTTACAAAACTGTGACTAAAAATTGTGATCGGAAAAAATCTTCAATGAAGTTTATCATATTTTTATTTTTTGATAGCATTGCTAAAATGTGTAAGACTTTTCATACAAGCATTTTACAATATTTGTTTCTCATTTCTTTTTATATCGGCATTTTACAATATTTGTTTCTCATTTTATTTCACTGACTGAATATAACAATTTCTAATAAATGGTACTTTTAAGATGATAAAAAATATTATTATTAAGCAATGTTGTGGCTAAATAACATATGTAAGTATAAAAAACAAGTGAATCAATGACTAAACACGGATATGTTTACATGATGAAACGTGATTACACGATTCTTTTAATATACCCAAAATTATTACTTACATGGCGAAAAATAACAAAATAAAAAAGAAACTAAAATTCATTGTATTTTTTTACAAATTTAGGCCTTGTGCTTGTAGCCGGCTACGTCAAGAAATGGCGCTGCAAGATCATTTTAAAAAACACATTTTTCTATTATAGTAGTTTTAAGAGTTATAAAATATTATTTACAATTTTAAATTTAAATATGTATTAATATTTAACTAGTAGTTTTAACATCATAAAATATGTATTTATAATTCTAACTTTTTTAATAAAAAAATTCATTCACAATGAATGCAGATTATGCTTCTTGAAACTGGATTCAAAAAACAAAAGTTTTTAACCATAGAGATCTACATTTCTGTATTCAGCTTTCAATTATCTCTACATATAATAAAAAGAATAGTCTGTCTGAGAGTGTGTGTGTGTGTCTTTCGTTCATCATGCGTGTGAGCTAACAGACCAAGGGTTACGAAATTTGGTACACAGGTACATCTAAACAAGAGGCAGTGCACCTCGAAGTGATTTTTTCAAAATTCGAATAAGTTTTTTTTTAATGTTTTTTGATGAAATCGCATCAAATCCATAATTCTCTCTCATTATATCAGCAACCCTGGCTATCACTGTTGCCATTGTTGCTGATATCAGCACTGTTGCCACTCGGAAAATAGGAGCGAAAATTAGCTTTTGTCCCTGAAGGACTATTGTTTTCGTTTTGTGATTTTGTGTTGAATCACTATAAATGTCCGTTTCACTTTTCAAACTGTTGCCACCGAATGCTAGAGTCCTGCATTATATTTGAAGAAATTAAATAATGAAAAATCTGCATAAATGTTTGTATATTTCTCGCTTTGTGACAAAACAACAGTACATAGAGCCACTGAATTTTGAGTGACGTCATCCTACTGTTAATATGGGTGTGGAAGCCCAAATTTGAAATTTGTTTTATTATCGATTTCCTATTTTGTAAATCTTTAACGAATTTTCGATTAACAAACTCAAGGATTTCAAAGTGAGCCATGGCAACGTTATACAGAAAAAAATATTTTTATCTCCAGCGCATGAGTCTCTGTATCAAAAATTCCAAAGATAGGCTCTTTTGCGATATTACTCTAGAACTGAATTTTATGGTTTAAGTACGAAGAACATGATATTTAATAAATAAAGGTAACAGACAAAATGTAAAAAAAAAAAAAAAAAAAAAAAAAAGACTCCCCTTTTGAACACAATTTAAAATCTGAAACCTTTCAGTTTCAAGTGGACATCAACCTTTTCCAGGACCCAGAAAAGAATTGTAGAAAGTTTGGTAATGATAGCTATAGTAGTGACTGAGTTATTAGCAAACAGACACACAGACTTCCTTCATACCATTTGAATTCTTAAGATTTTGCAAGGGGAAGTTGATTAATTTATTTATTAGGATAATTAGTATTTCTATTAAATTGCTTATTTTTGTAATTATTTTATATAATTTTAATTATATAAAAAAGTTTTGCATGAATTATTTTAGGAAACAAATTCCTTAACTTCCCTTTATACCATTTGAAATCCTATGATTTTACAACAGGAATCTGGTTAATTTATTTATTAGGCTAATTAATACTTAAGGGATACTGCTTATTTCATTACACATTTTTTTACATATACTTTATTTATTTATTTATTAATTTATAAAGTTGATCAGCAGAATAAAATTATGTGTAGTTTTTCAATTTAACATTTGTTATTCTGTTTAGACATTTTTCTGGTACATGTAAAAGCCAGATGGAGACTGGACTCGTAGCAGCCAGTAAATCATATACTAAGTATATAAAATTGTGCATACTATAAAAATACCTAGATGCAACATAATTTCAACATCATGTAGAAAATGCATGATATTTCATCAACAAATGTAGTAAGCAAATTAAGTTAGGCTAGTAATGTAAGTTTAATTAAATACTTACATATCATATTCATGCTCATTCTGAATGCTGTTTTCAGCAGAACTTTTTCCTTTTGTTGCAGTAATTCCTGTAATACATATATATTTATTAATTTAAAATATTAGAATTCAATATGGAAAAAATGCTAATTTTTAATAGCTACACATTTTGATTTACTTTTCATTCAAATACAGGAAATGTATACATTTTATTGAAAATAATAATAATAAAACTGTATTTTATGCTTTCTAATTTGCGCAACAGCAACAATAGCTCACCAAACAATTCAATATATTCCTTAAATATATTGAATCCTCTTTGGGGACAGATAAAATATAACATGGTATCTTTTACTCACATAATGCAATAAAATTTAGCATTAATGAAATAAAATTTTACATCTGATATACCTTTTAAGGAAAAATAAATTTGGATAATTATAGTTAATAGAAGTCTGCAAAGTATAATTCATTTTCTCAGAAGCAAATTTACTTTTTTTCAGAAGCTAATATAAAAAATACATATATATGTACATAAACATACATGTTAGACGTATATCCTAAAATAAATTTTTTCTCATCCTGTTCCACCCATTTTTACCAATTTTCTTGAATAAATTATTCCAATGCGAAATTTTTATTAAAATTTTCAAGGAATCATGAATCCTCTAAATCCTTACTAAATCTTCACAGAAAGTTATCAGACAGAAAATATATCATATACAACACAAAAAAATAAACTAAATCAATTGCAAACCATTACTATTAATATTCATTCTTGAAACTAGTTTCTAAACCAAATTCAATGAAATTCAGAAATCACTTTCATAAAATATATACTTACGGTTTATTTTTTATTGTATTTTAAATATTAATATTTGTTACATTTAGATGTAGTTGAAAACCTTATTAACATAAACATTTCGCAAAATAATCTTTCATTATAACTTTATGAATAAAAATGCCCTTTAAAGCACCCAAATATAAATAATTTCACAAACCTTTCTGTTGATTTGTTGTGTGTGAGGTTTCTGATGAGAGAGCAGGATACGGTCTTGTTGCTTTTTGTTTTATTGTGCCAACTGTTTCATTTGCAAATGGTAAAGCAGATGAATCTACACTGGAAGATGATTCTGCCGAGTCTTTCCGTCGCTGTTTGAACAATGGATTGTTAAACAATTCATCCATAGGCTCTTGCTTTTCCATTACACTCTTATTAGATTTCTCATCAACTGCTGAAGGAAGAGGTGAAGGAGGAGGGGGAAAGTCTTCTGCACACACAGATTCTTTGGAAACTACTTTTAATGGTGCAACATTAGGGTGATCTTCCTTTTTAACCCCAACAGAAGGTCTTTCTCCTTTTGTAGAATTACTCCGTTTAGGTGGTGGTGGAGGTGGAGCTCTTTTCAATGTTGCACTTCGGGGTACTGTTGCAGGTCCATGTCTTGGTGAACCATCAAGGCTCGCCCAGCCATCTAAAGTTCGACTTTGATTTATAAGAGATTTAAATTCACTATCTGGTATATCCATAATAGCTTCAGCAATTTCTTCACGTGTCTTGGCTGGTATTTTTGCCATTGGTCTTAACCTTACAAGACCTTTTGGGCGGTTTAAAGTAGCTGTTCCTTCACACTCATACTCATAGTCTTGATCTAAATCTGTAACTCTCCAGTCTTTCATTGGATTTTTAGGATGCTCCACAGACAATGCTTGTGTTACTGGAGTATAAGATATAACTGCAGAGGGAGCAGAACTAACTGTTGTGACTATATTTTCTGAATTGAGGCTTTCCAATGATCGTCCCCTTGTTGGGGATAATACCTGAAAACAAATTAAAATTCTATAACTTAAAAGATACAAATTGTATTGATCATATTTGTAATATGATAGCAACAGTAGTAGTAAAAAGTAGACAGAATATGATAGCATCAGATCAATGCATATTTCTATTTTTTAAATATAGTATATAGATATATATTGAGTTTTTTTTAATGCAAAACATAAGTACAGAAAATATACATTTTACAAATTCCGTCTAACTTAGATTTTGTTATTATTTATATTTAAATACATTAAGGAGTTTTCATTAAAAAAACTATACAATCAAATTAGTAACAACATGATTATGCCAATAATATGTCAATTTGCATATACATAATAACTGAACTGCATTTGAGAATAATATATAAAAAATTGTGACTACATCCTCTTATGCAACATATAATTAATATTCAATAGTATGAACATGAGTCTTTATAGGATTAGCCTGAATGCTAAAAGGGGAGAAAGCAAATTACTAGACAATGAATCTTTGTCATCCATATATTAAAATAATGTGTTAACATGAGATACTAAAATTTAAAAAAAAAAATTAAAATATTAACTGAATACTCCTTTCCTTTCTAGTTTTTAAGCACTCTTCTGTATCTTTATCTACTGATTTCAGATCAAACAAGTGTTATTTTGTTAAAACAGATAAAATGTATTTCCTAGGTAAATGCTGTCTACCCTAAATTAATGCATATTTCTATTTTTTAAATTTCTGTAATAAGCCACAGTATTTTTACTTACTGGATTAAGACTACCATTGTGGTGCTGAGAAACTGCAATGTTCTGAGCAGAATTATGAACAGCTTGCAAAAAAAGGCTTTCCTCCCGTAACGGTGACTGCTGAAATGTTTTCATTTCAGGGATGGAATCTGTGGACGGGGAACTCTTTGGACGATGAGTAGATATTGCTACTTCTTGACTTGGATAATGAAAAGGCTGAACATCACCTAAATTTTAGAGAATGAAACATTAAAAAATATTTTTGCTTCTTATACCTGCAGAATATTAAGGTAATTGAAAAGAAAATCAAGAACTGAAAATGAACACTCTCAAATCAGAAATACTACTGATTTTTTTCCTTTATCATTATCAATTATGTATTAATGCTTATTTTTAGAACATAGCCTCAAAATAAATGCAAGCATGGTTTCTGTAAATCTGCAATTTATATACTGGAGTACATAGTATTTCAGAACTTATCTGCATCTGTAATTTTTGGCAGCATAAACTAATTTTGGTGAAAAATAAATTTACAATATAAATACAAAGTCTGAGATCTGGAATCTTCAGGTATTCATCGGATTTTGGAAATTTCTGGATTTTAGATCATTAGTTTATATCTACTAAAGATGTCATGTACACATTGTAAGAATTTTGGAAGGCATTAGGCAGCAAAATTTAGCACCAAAAGAGATTGCAGCCAGCAACAAAATGTGTGGCATTAGCCCTGCCCCTCCTCCACAACCACTCAAGGATTGAAAATGTGATTATGAACAGCATCAATACATTGTCAATAAATACAATGTTATTAGTTGCAGTGCAACTCCCTAGTCAGTAGGTGTTTAAAAGTGATGTGCAGGGTATTTCAATTAGTTGAAAAAAAATCATATTCACAGCACACCTGTTTTATTTTTTTTATTCTGAATTCCTAGAATTTGTAGGGAGATATTATTTTATTAATTTAATTTTATTTTTTAGGCTGTCCAGATGTTTGATCACTCCAGATATTAAGAGGTCTGGGTTTCACGCTTTGTACTGCATTATTTTTAACTTCTTTTTTGGGGTGGGGGCTGAAGAATTCAACTTTAACCTACAAAAATTTATTAATTTATATGAATTCACACACTTCTTTTGCATTCATTTATTAACACAGTATTTAGAATTTATCAGCTCCTTAGACAGCTGAAGTTAATTTATATGATACTCCTATGAATAAAAATTTATTCATAACATTCAATTACAAATAATCACACACATTTTGAATTTATGAATAAATAATAAAATGCAATAAATTTAATTAATTAATAAAATGTAATTAATTTAAAGCCTGGGTCATGTTCTAGTAAAAGTGCTTTTGCAAGTAAAATGCTTAATATTATATTTGATTTACTCACTTAAAGTAGAGGGACGAGTAAAAGCTGCCGGACCGCAACCAACAGCATCATTACGATTTTGACTGCTACACTGAGGATACAAATTTGGGCGACGTCCTTGATTTATATCTTCAATTCTTTTGATAGCCAATAAAATCTTCTTTTGGTGACCTTTATTAAAACAAATAGTTTTAAAAAAAATTAGACCTTTGATTAAAAATTATTTACAGAATATAAAAAGGATTCAAGGCCATGAATATATTAATTTTTATGACCACTTGCCTTCGTGGTGTAATTGGAAGCATACTCGAGATGTATTTGGGAGGTCCAGGGTTCGAGTCCCGGCGAGGGTTTTGTATAAAAAATCTCAACAACTGTACAAATGGCACCCAAACTAAAAGGTGGTGGATGATAATTTGTCACAACCAGGATTTGGTGAGTGGGTCCCCATACTTCCCTACTGCCCTTTGACAAGGGAAGTAAAGGTATTTTTCTCCTTCCTTTTTGCATGCTTTCGTGGTGAAATTGGAAGCACACTCGACGCATAATCGAGAGGTCCAGGGTTCAAGTCCTGGCGAGGGTGCTGCACATTTTTCACGTCTCCTACTTCCCCCCCCCAAAAAAAAGACTCTACAGCCATAAAAAAAGACTTACTTATTCCAGAATTTAATGCTTAGAAAGAAGAAAATGCAACATCAACATTACACATTAAATAAGCTTAAATTAAATTAAAATATGGCATATATTTATAAATTTACTATTTGTTCCTTTCAATTGCCAGAAAATATTTCAAATGCATTTAAATGGTTATTTCAAGTAAACTTAATGCATTGACAAAAATACTTTGTTTATACTGCTCATATACTTCTATCCTTAAGGTTTTAATAATTGCAAGTATGATAATTTACACAGAATCTTAAAATTTACCTAATTTTTGAATGCCAATATCTTCCAAATCTTCCCATGTTAATTCAGTTACTTTGTCAACTGTATTATAATTCTGTTGGCACAGGGTATCAAAATATTCCTCAAGGCGTAATAACTGCAACCACTCCAATAAAGAATCCTAATACGAAATAAAAATAAAGATTAAAAAATTAAACAATTTTTCACAAATGGATGTATCAGTTTTCCATACTTCCATCTTAAGTTAATGTCTGCTATTATCCAAATTCAAAATCTCAAATTAATGTTAATTGAATATGCCATTTAATGAAGTATTGGATGGATGACATAGTACAATATTTCATTCATCTGCAGATTACAAATTAAAATTTGAGTGAATTGAACATTCTGAACATTCAGAGTTTAAGCTGCACCAGAGCCCGGCTACGGCACTTCTGATTTTAGAAATTAAGCCATGCAAGCATTATATGAACAATGATAGATACATTTACCTATCAATATTTCTCTCTTTAAATGTTTTCACTTACTATTAGGTCATATAAAATAGGAAATATTTATTTTAGAGTTTTATATCTGCTTGTGTACCGATTTACCAAATTATACATTGCGGATCATACACACATACATAAAGAGAAAATTTACTCTACAAACACCTGACATTCTGAAAAAATGCCATCATTAAATTGCTCTTAGTCTTATAAATAACATATAAAATGAAGAGATTTTCAATTACTATAAATATCAAAACCTCATACATACTGGTTTATATTCTGGAATGCCATCTGAAATATTTAATTTTGCTATTTCAGCTTTCAACTTCCTTCGGTGGTTAGGTTTCGTGATGCCAATAGCAGTGAGATCCTAAAACATGAGAAATCATATCTAAATGAGGTAATATCATAACATATTTTTGTTCATCAAAAGTATGGATTATACGAAGAAATTTAAACTAACGAGATTTAAGAAAAACTAAATTTAGCAATGCCTAACATGAATACATATAGAATAGTAAGAAACAAGCTAAGAATAAAAAGTTTAAATATATTACCACAAGCATAATGAGAAGATTTTATAGAACTGGAATGAGCATTTTGATCAAACAGGAAAGTCTTTTAATAAAGAGGAATTCTATGTATTTAATATATTATAATTATTATAAATAAATTAATTTATTATTTGCTGGCACAGAATCTATTTAACAGTAAAAATGGGAAATTATGTGTATTTAAGATATCATTATTATGAATTAATTAATTAAATTATTTTATTATTTGCATACATAAAAAATCTATTTAAAGTAAAAACAACGGAATTATCGTTGCATTCTACAGATTTAAGGATTTAAAGTAACTGACAACAACACTTGATGAAGAATAAATACTCAGGACAGTTCCCAAAATATGTTTACAGTCGTACGACAAGCACATCAAAACAATCAGCAATACAGCATTCAGTGAAGACAGCTTCACGGCAAAGCACTAAAGTACAGCTCCTGACTTGGTCGATTGTTCTCGAGCTGATCTCTGAACTCAAAGCACTACTATTGAACTCAACACACTCAAGATACTCTTCACGATAAACTGACACTCAGCGTACAGGCAGGCCCCATGCAGCCAAATGAAGGACGTGCCAAACCCGCTTTGTGGGGAAGCTACTTTACCGCAGCTCGGCATTTTGTAACATTATGTTCTGCTTATACAATTTTTTTTAATTTTATTTTATTATTTTTATTTATTTATTTATTTTAATTTTTACTCAAATTAAACACACACAAATTTTGGGTACTATCGTATAACCCGCCCAACTTTAATAAGAATCACTATTATGCCATTAAATTAGTTAATACTTTTTGAAAATGTATTTAACCCACTGATATTTGTGCCTGCATTATGCCAGAGCATAATGCTGCCATCTCTTTCAGTAGTAATTCGCACAGTTTTGAAATTCAAGCATCATGTTTGAGGTTTCTGTTTGTTGTGATTCGTGTGTGAGTCCCCCCCCATAGCTAATCATAATGCCACTGTGTGCCTGATAATGAAAAAGAAAGTGCTGTGTTTTTTAAAAAAAATATTGTGCTTTTTCTACTACTGGAGTGCACTTTCCATAGCCAAGTTAATTTGTGCCATTTTCTAACATTTTTCAAGTTAAAACAAGTCCATGTGTAAATGGGAAAAAGTGCGAGTTTATTACTGAGAATACAATACCCAAAATTTCGAAATTCTCCGATTCCCCCTCCTCCCGAAGACAAAACCGAAATTGCGCAGGAGACCAGCTCTGCTGCTTTATTCCAGAAAAAAATTCTTTGGATTTAAAAAAAAAATATTTTAACAATAAATCTGCTTTGAAAATCATTTCTAACTACAGAATGCATGCTTGTCTTCTGCTGGGAAATAAGAACTCTGATGAAAGTTGAGATGGCAAAAAAGTTCCTACCCATGTCAAAAGCTTTTTCTCCAGGAATTTCCCCAGCAATGAATTTATGAGAGAGGGTAAATTTTTCATTCCCTATCATCAAAGTCGTAGTTAAAAAATGTTGCAGTTGATTTTCACACCTACAGATCATCATTAAAATATCACATGGCCATACTTTTCAACCAAAAACTTCTTCCACAGCTGGGGTAAGCATTATTGCCATATTCCCCCCCCTCATCCTGCCTCTCATGGTTTTCTCTCCTCCAAGTCAGTTTTACTGTTCCCTAATGAATGGGTCATCCCTCAATAGCACCTGCTTCCAACTCTGTTCAGAAGAGTGTTAGATGTTTTTCTGTAGGATAAGATACTCTGTCTTTGAATTTTTCTTACTTCTTTGTGTAAAATATTCTACAAAACAATACAGCGTGAATGACAGGATTTTACACCACAATTATTACATGTTTATATGATTATTACTGAATAAAGATGTGCAATAGCCAAAAATTTTACGTCATTTGATAACTATCTACCTATTTAAAGCATTTTTATAACTTTAAGAAATAAAATTTAAATTACATGATGCTTGTTTAAGTCATTTATTATTATTTTACGCATTATATTATAATAATGAATACATTTAAAATGTCAAAGATGTAACTTTCTGAAACAAAAACAAAACTTATTCTGCAAATTAAGCAGTATTTTTAAAGGCAATACTCTGAACTTGTGTACCTGATGAAATCTTCTATGATACAGCTGCATAATTTTTCAGTTCAGTTCAGTTCAGGATAATTCCTAATACAGCTTAATAATTTCAGTTTTAAGGCAATAATATTGCTAGAGCAGTGTTCATCATTATATTCTATTGGTTTTTAATATTAGCTTAAAAGGAAAATATTTTATGTCAGTTATCAATAAAATTATAGTGACGTACTGGTAGCTCTCGATCGACCATGTTCTAGATATTACTTAACACAGCCTGAACTGGCAAAACTTTATTACATTTATTTCATGAATGAAGAAATTTTAGAATTTTAATTGAAGAATCATATTTTTGATTGGGCTAAGGAGGATTGAGTTTTGATTAATTGCAGAGCACATTAAAAATATGAGTACAGCACAAGAATTTTCTTTGTAAAAAAAAAATGGAATCGTCTTCACATTATGCATACGGAAAATCCCAAGTGGCGAGTCTTTTGCTAAACTTTGCAAGAAAATATGCAAATTATAAAATTTTGAGTGTTTTGTTATTGGATATTTATGTAACTTTTACTGCTTAATTATAGATTATAATTTCTTGCGTTTCAGATTTCGTTAACTCATTGCTGAATGTAATTTTGCACCCTTTTTTTTAATAACTGTTTTCATGTGTTAGTGTGGCGACTTTGTGAAAGGGTTGGGTGGACAACTCAAAAGTTCCAAATTTTTATTTGTGCTGAATAACTTATTTCCATTCAAAGTAAGGAAATTAAACTTACAAATTATTTTTGGTGACTTAAAATTATAAAACTAGCAGAATATTATACATTTTTGCATATACAGTTAACAAAAAATTTATGCTTTAATGAAATTAGTAAAAATTAAATATGTAAATGAAGGATTTAATTTTACATGCCCTAAAGAACAACAACCAATCCAAATAAGCTGAATTCCAGTTAGATGTAGTCTGCAGAAGACATTTATTGCATTCCAAAATCAAAAACAATCATTCATCTCAAATCAAATAGAATACAAATTAAGGTATTTTGTGTAATTTTAACATGTGATATATTTAGATTAATTTTCAACTGAGAATTAGAGGTTGATGACTTCCGGCAAAATATTTATTTGGTAACTCATTGATTAAGGCAATAATCAATGAGCTATAGCAGCTTACTGCAATACAGAATGGTTCGGTTATTTGAATATGCCAAAGCGCACGGGGTCTTAAGGATGTCTTCTGTCCTTGTAGAAGTTTTCTAAGGAAACTGGCTCGTATTCGCGTTACATATGAGAGAAACCAAAAAAATCAAACATCCGGCTAGCCCGAGCACATGAAATTGAACCCAGGTCAAACTCCCAGTATTCACAGAACCATTCGGCTACTGGTGGAGGTTTCAATACTGAACAAGGTGTTACCAGTAATGCTCAAAACTAATCTCGGATCTCTAACTGAAGATCAGGATCTCCAACTGAAGATCAATCTTTATTTAGTTTAAAAACCTAAAAATTTATTTATCTTTATCATGAAAGCTCAAACACTCATTTCTTTTCTATGCTAGATTGACAGAACCAGATTACTGCCCAGCAGTCTCTGAAATCATCTAACAATTCCTCACAATCTTTCATTGTTCCCCACCTCATTACTTGTTTTCTCCCATGATAACAAGGAAAAAGACCTCTGGGTAAAGAGCTATATACCTAAAACCATAGACCATACTAACCGTACTCAGCACATAAAGTGTATTTCATTATTTTTAAAAAAACGTTCCATATGGATTTATATAAAGTCAAAATTTAAAAAAAAAAATTTCATCTTCTTTGACATTTATGTTTATTAATTTAAAATTCGAATGAGTATTAACCCTTAAGTACAGATGTTCATTTTCTGTTACATAAACATAGAGGAGGGGTCTCTCAGATCGCGTTCAAATTTATGCATTTTAAAAAATATAAAATTTTAAAATAATGTACTATTATTAAGACACAATAACACGCCGAATAAATACTAATTCAGAAGTCTAAACAACAAAAATCAGCATTATACCTACAAAATTTTCACAGGACTAGTTTCGATGGTTTACCGAACCATCATCTTCAGCTGCAAAACCGCAAATGAACAAGATAGGAAAGCCTGGACTTCTTGTCAGCCTGGACTTTCTTATCTTATCTAATCATTATTTCCTATCTTGTTCATTTGCAGTTTTGCAGCTGAAGATGATGGTTCGGTAAAACCATCGAAACTAGTCCTGTGAAAATTTTGTAGGTATAACGCTGATTTTTGTTGTTTAGACTTCTGAATTAGTACTGTACTATTGTTATTATATATGCATTAATACTTGTACTGACAAGGAGAAGAAAAACTATATAACTTATAAGCAGTTTCGCAGTTCTAAAATACTGACGCGGTCATACAGACCCCACCTCTGTGTTTAAGGGGTTAATATGATGTATTAGTTTTAAGAATTTGCTGAAGGAAATTATAATAAGTACATTTATACATTCAAAATAATTTATACTCACTTCTGGGGTCATACGTGTAATGGTTGGCATGTCGTAACCTGCCAGCAGGAACAACGGAGTATACTCCTCAAAATGAAGACTAGCCAACCAATTACTCAGCACTTCCACATCCTGCAAAGGAAAACAAGGAGATAAATTTTACCATCAAACCACACTTAGCGGTGAAAAAAGTATGTCTAAAAAAAAAACAAAAGAAGATCTGAAACAGATGTTTATTAATAATATGCTTCAAATAATAATAATAGTAAGAATACGAATAATAAACTGCATGCGATTGGACAGCATTTTTACAAATTTTCAAATTGCTTCTCGAGTGTTATGTAGATATTTTTCGTTGTATTTCATTGTTACATACAGTGTCTCACAAAAGTGTTCGCACACTTTAAGAATTTGCAGAAAAAGCACTGTAACCCGGAACTGAATTCGAATATAAAGCTCAATATTTTTTCATATCATCTTTAAGTGACTTTGAATAAAACCAAACTTTTTAATTTTCAATAACAACTTATTTTCTAAAGTTGAAAATGTAAGGAGGTACATAAAGCACGCCACAAAAGTGATCGTGCACCGAAAGATTTTCGTAAAACTTCATAACTAAAATTATCATCTACCACTTTTTTTTATTTCTGCAATTTCATGACGTTTAAAAATTGTTTGGCTTTATTTTTGCTTGCTTACTTCGTTATATTTTATTTAATATTTAAAGGTATCTCGTAGGCGTAAGGAAACAACGAACAGCATTCGAAAATTGGTAATTTTTCATCATAAGGATGGAAATTCGATTCGGGATGTGGCTAAATTAGAAAATTTATCCCATTCTATGGTGCAGTACGTGATAAAATGCTTTACAGAATAATCCAAAATAAAGTAAGAAGAGGTTGTCCGGCAAAGAGGACTTAACGTGATCAGAAATTTATAGTTAGAAAATCTGCGAAAAGTCCATGTTTGAATCTTTCTGCAGAATTTACTGAATTCCGGTGGGTTAATAATTCTTTGGAGAGACAAAAATGAGCAGCTTAATCCCAAGACCTTGGTTGGTACACTAATGCATGGCAGCGGAGGTATTCTTGTGTGAGGGCGCATGTCAGCATCAGGATATAATAATTTGGTATTTATTGATGGCACAATGAACCACGTTCTTTATTTAAATGTTTTAAAAGCTAAATTAAAATTATTCGCCCAAAATTTGGATACTGGGAACAACTTTATTTTTTTTATCAGGATAACTAATTTTTTTATCAGGATAATTCTAAGCACACGGCCCTCAACGCTCGCCGTTTGGGTGTCTATAATTGTCCACAAGTTCTGAAAACAACACCTCAGTTACCGGATTTAAACCCAACAGAACATATCTGGAGAGAATTAGAGGTTCGGGTATGAAGACACAACATTAAAACAAAAACCGAAATAAAAACAGTAATGATGGAAGAATGAAGAAACACTGACGCAGATATTACAAAAAAGAACTAGTGAACTGTACACCCAGACGTTTGAAAGCTGTGATAAATACTGCAGTATATACTACAAAATACTATCTAACTGACAGAAATAGTATAATATTTACTAACATGTAACTCTTTAAAGCGTACGAAGACTTTTGTAAGGTGACTTTTTTATTACTGATTCCCCCGAAAAAAAAGTTATAATAAGTTCATAAAATAATTAATGTATTTTTGCTAAGAGAAATTTATAGACATTATTAAAAATTTTCATTTTAAAATAATAATTTTTATTAATGAATAAAGCAATATTTCACCGACACTCGTAAGTGTGCGAATTCTTTAGTGAGTCACTTTAATTCGTTTGTACGACCTACTTACATAACGTCCCCCCCAAGGGAAAGTTATTAGCTCTTATAGAGTGGAAGCGTTATTGATTGAAAGTATATTATATACTTGCAAATTTTGCTAAGCTAATTGAAGAAAACTTCCCAGGAGTCGTGGTCTGGGGGCTCCTCCTCCCAAGGGGGGATGTCTAATCCAAACTCCATTTAGAGTTCAAAAATGGATGAAATTTTCAAACAGAGACTGTTGCTCAGTCAGAACTTATTGAGGAGGCTCGCTCACTTATTAGTGAGCTAGAAACTTGTCTAGAAATTGCCTCTAGAGTAACAATACCTCTTCGTAAGAGGATATTTAAAGCACAAGAAGTGCTATTTGGTTATACTGTTTCACAAGCATTGGAACTAGAGAATTTGAAAGGAAAATTAGAGGTGATAAAGAAACCACAATCTCTATTAGAAAAATCCTTTGCTGAAATTGTTCAAGAACAAAGAGTTAAGGAAATCGATTCAAAAGAAGGAGAAAGTTAAGAAAAAAGAACATGTGTCGTTGTTATATCCCAAGGTTAAAGGGGTTTTATCAGAAAAATTGAAAAAGAAGGTGGTTGAAGCAATTGACCCGGTTAAATTAAATATTGGAATAAGAAATGTTAGAAAAATTAATTACAGAGGATTGTTACAGAATGTGTAAATAAAGAAGCTGAAATGTTAGAGGATGAAATAAAGTCTAATATATTGTTGATAGAAGATGTTGAAATAAAGGCTCCAAAAAAGAAGCAACCAAAAATAATATTATATAATATAGCAGTTGAATTGAAGGAAGAAATCTAGGAATCGGTGATTAGACAAAATCATATTTTTGAAGACGGTGGTGTTGAACTTTTATTCCCAATTACAGCAAAAAATAATAAGTTATTTTTTTGCTTATAAATAATAACTTATAATTATAATTGCTTATAATTATTTGTATTAAGATTTATAGTTTTATTGGACTTATAAAACTAATTTGTTATAGTTTCTGTTTTTATAAGTGAATGAGACTTTATATTAAGTTTGCTCTAATCATCCTTTGAAATATAAGTTATATTTTTTGTTTGATTATATTTTGTTATCCTAAGTAGGACATATATTGTTTATGTAAAAAAGTTTTGTAAATTATTGTATATTGTAACTTCAATTTTGTATTTTTGATTAATGAAAGATATTTGTTGGTGAGGTCAATGGATCTTTCGGCCAGTAGCGAGTACAGTATGGTGGTTGAATTCAATTTTAAACAGACAGACAGACAAAAGATCCAATAATCCCTATATACCGTCAGGTTCGCAGAATAGATAACCAGTCTTACATAACGTTTAAAAAAAATCAGTGAAAGAAATTATTTGTCAACACGGTAGTAGACGCGAATATTTATTGTTAACTTCTGAGATACAATTAAAAATTAATTTCTCAATTGACGCCCAATATAAAGATCTTCCGAAATGGCATCTTGCCAAGACGTTCTAATACTCGAGCCTTTTTCGCAAGAAATGCTAAAAATCTTTTTCTTTCTTTTTTTTTTAAAGCCATGCTCAAGTGTTTGGCACACTGCCAAATAACGTTTCTTCCTCGCACTTGATTAGCAACGAGTTACCACTTAGGACACTGTGAATTATGAAACCATGTAGGGTAACCATTTTCCGACATCTTCAGAAAACAATAACTTTCAAACGTTTAAGGAATTTTTTTTTGGTGATTACGTCAGATATTTTTGTTTTACAAAAAGACTTTAGTAGCATTATCAAACAGTAAATCTTAAAATAACTCAAGCTATGGATTCCATTATTTTAAGATTTGTTTTTCTTTTTTCTTATTTTAATATTGGATGATTCAATTTCAGCTCGGTATGGTGCTATCATATCAGTGGGCTCGGGTTTAAATATTGGATGTTTGCGATCCTAGATGTAATAATGTATGTAGGTGATTGTGAAACCATTTCAGACAAACGGCATTTTTTTTTTTTTTTTTTAATTGAAAATTTTAAATTCTTGTGCACCACATAGTATTACACAAGGCTTACAGAAGGTAAGTAAAGGAAAAAAAATACAACAACACAAAATAAAATAAACTTACAAATTCACAGATGACACGTAAGAGATAAATTTACAGAAGAAAGAGAAAGCCATTTTTATGGCACCCCTCCACCCCCCCCAAAAAAAAACAAGAAAGAAAGAAATTATAAGCCATCGTGCTTGTTTTCGGTACGTTGTTCTATGCGAACTAGGATGGAGGTGGAAAAAGTTGCATTACTAAGATCCGTGCTAAAAATCTTAAGACGAACGACAGGCGCAACAGTCCTAATGAGCATTAAGCCAACGTCTTATATGCATATAGTAGTTTAACAACAACAGTCATGATCACGTTGTTAAAATACTGAACACCAATGAACTAGATACAGTGGGCACTAATACTGATAAAAACGATTATAAGCAATAAATAACGACAGACATTCTTGCTTCCAGGATACTTTATATCATAATATACATTTTATAATTAGACGCAAAACTATGCGAGCACAAAACGCTGGAATATGGGATTTCGGTACAAGAACAAACAGCTCTCGAATATAGGCAATCTGCGCTGTACTTGAATAATACAATTATCATTTCAACATGTCTAGAAAAAAGAATGTAGAACATATAGATAAAAGTTTATAATATGTACAATGAAACTTTCTTAAGATTATTACCCATGGTTCAAAAGATGACTTGATTGCTGCCTATGCCACAATGTCCGATTTAAGGTACCTTATTTTAAAAGGCCTCTATAAACCATTCTGTAATTCCTCAAAATTTTATTCTTTCCCCACGAACAAGGGAGTTAGATGCTCGTTCCCTTGAAAGAAACATAGTTTAAACAGCCCGGCATCCCATATCTAGGGTCCCAAGCTGTTTTAATCAGGTCTTGATTTCACACGATTTTGTTTCTTGTGAATGTGCCTTAGAAAACACAATTATCAATGACATTTCAATAATTTTGTTCCGATGTTTATTTCATGTTCTTAAAAATGCCAATCACTCTGAGATGGACGTCTACGGGAGATGGCTATACGAAAGATTTCAATTCAATACCTTGAAATTGCCTAAGTACTGTAGATCTATGTGAAGAATGATAAAAATGTTGACGGAGGGGTTGTATCGTTAGAGACAAGCTTTTTTTAGGGAAAAAGTAAGAGAGAAAAGAAACGCTGTCTCAATATAAAAATTCAAACGCCTTGTTTTTTATTTTTAAGTAATACAAAAAATTTAGAAAAGTTGTCTGAAATTTTTGTAATCTACGTCAAAACTTTCTAATT